GTTTCTCAGGTGTTCTATGTTAAATAATCTGTATAACACTTTTAATGGCTCATTTCCTAATTTGGGGTTCCTATCATTCCCTAAAAATTCAAAGTCCCTAGGAAAGAACGTAAATGACATTGCTAATTAGAGCATGAATGCCATCTAGTGGTCGATATTGCTAACTTCAGGATTACTAGTGAACAGGAAAAAACAGAAAAAAAAAAGATGAATCTGCTTCAGCTTTATGATACAGCCTCATAGAAAGTCTTAGTCAAAAACCAACCAAACAAACACAAACAACAAAAAATAAAGAGGCTTCCTATGAGAACATTACTGAATCAATTAAAATGTAAACATAAAGTGCATCAGTGTTTGGATGTGATTTATTTCTTGGTATATACAAAGCATGAAGCTCTGTAAGTAAACAGATACCAACATTTTAAAACCTAATTTTATATATATAGATTGGAAATAATATGAGTTCACGTGTAGATGAGACCAGAAAGAATTATAAAAAGAGATGGGTATAGTATATGATATTAATTTTTGGAAGAAAATTTATTTTAATTTAGGGCCAGAAGTCAAAGATAGGTCAAGTGAATGTGTCCAGCAGACTTTCAAGAGAGGGAAGAGGTAGAAAATGATTGATCTATAGCACAATGTGATAGTACTTCAACAATCAGATCTAACAAATTAGACCAAATATAAAAAACCATTACATTTTTATCCCAGATTGAGAAGTTTTGGTGGTTAAGCAGAGAATCTGGAAAAATATCTAGTCATGAGAATATAAATCCAAAATCTTTCATTCCTTTACAGAAACTACTTCATATGTTAAGAGCTTGGTGATATAAAGCTGTGCAAAATAGACTTAGCATCTGGGAAAGCAAATGTATTAAAGCTGATAGGCATCCTGAGACCAAAGTTATAGCCAAGAAAAAATAGAAATACTTATTTCAAGGAAGTTACTGAATGAAATGCAATGAGTAAATTGTACTGTTAAGTTAGTAAAATTTCAACCTTTACTACTGTTTTCTGAAATCTACTTTCACTGCCAGTGATTTTTGTGTTTTTCAAGGAAGGAACATTTTTGTTGAACTAAGATATGGCAGAGAATGAACATGAATCTACATTTAGATCAGACATTGCATCCTCAGTAAGCAAATGTTCCCATATGACCACCAAAACAGTCAAACAAGAGCTGCTCCTTCATACCTCTTCACTGTTTTGGTTGCAGATGTCATCAATACATCCACAAAATGAACTACGTTCTTAAGCACTGTTTGTTGAAGCAGCTGTTAAATTAATTAAGCTGATAAATTTCTAACCATGATTAAGATATGTTTATTTTTCTTTCAAACAAAACAAAACAAAACAGCATTGGTATTAGTAAGATGAATGTTCTAAGAAACCCACATAAAAATTTAAATACTCATACTTTATTTCCAGTTCCAGTGAAAGTTGACTTTTGAGTCCTAATGTTTTCTTTTATATTTATAGAGAATATAGTGTACACTGACAATGAAAGGTTTTCATTTTCTTAATTATACTTTTAAGTACTTTCATGTTCCTGCTCTTATTAAAAGATAACATAGAGGATTAAAACAATAAAATAGAAAATGCACATGCTGAAAGCAGTTCGAAAAGGTAAAGCAGGAGGATTGAAGAAAGACAATTGATCTAGATTTTAATTGAATATTGCTGTTCCCCTTATACTATAATTTGGAAGACTATAATAATAGTAATAGTTATGATCTATTAACTAGAACCTTATATGAGTTAAATGTAAAGAAACAGAAAGTAGGATTTGATTTAAAGAAAAAGTCTATAACACAAACAAAACAAAAGCTTAGAGGCAAGTCAACTGCTACAGATGTGCTACATCTGCTTGCTTGCCCACTGGGGACTGGCAGATAAAGAGATTAAGACATTTACACAAAGATGGCTAGACAACAAGATCAGATAAGCAAATAACTGCTAGGTAGAGGTACTATAACACTAGTATGAAAAAAATTACCTACAAAGTCATTTAACCCACTTGCAAACAATATTTTTAATTCATTCAATGATCAAAGACTACTTCATTAGTATAGAGAATAGTTGGTGAATTCCAAAATGTCACTGACATTGTCAAATAAAGAGAAGTAAGTGATATTTGAATAATATTTTATTAAGTGAAAAACATTGGGTTATATAATGGCATAAAAGTTCCACATCTATTAAAGAAAAATATACAATAGCATAAAAATCCCATATTTACATGACATTAGTGGAAAATTTTAATTACAGCATGTGTGAAAATATTTGGTATGTGCTTGGAAAACAAGTTAGTTTGTTTCTCTTGGAAGAATTTCTACAAAGATATTTTTTCATACTTACAAAAAACAGTTTCTTGAATTTCATATACTGACTTGCTTATGCTTGAACCATGTAAAGAGGACATAGACATGAACATGATCATTACTGCCCTCACTTTCCACACAAAAATTTAAAAATATACAGCACAAAATAAACTTCATGATAGCAATTTTTAATTTTTTTTCTGAAAAATGAAGTCAGATTAATAATATGTGTATTACATATGTAGAAACTAATATGGAACATATAATTGTATAATCCAGCAAAATGAAACATTATAAGTTATAAAAGAATAAGAGTAACTAGCTACTCTTTCTGGCTTCTGAAAAAAAAATGTAGCCATGTTACCTGGTCAACCCCAAAGAATGACTTGAAGTCCACATTCTCAATTTTTACTGACAAAAATAGACCCCACCATCTCTGATTAATCACATTCAACATCTCCTTTCTTTCCCTCTAAAGTATTAGAAAAACCTCAAAAGGAAAAATGTCATTACATTGCCTACATCTGTCAAAAATACATTCATGTCCTGTTCTTGTGATGGTTTTGTCCCCTTTATAAAAATTCAAAACATAATAATTCTTCAGATTCTTTGATCAAAATAAAGATGTAATCTATCTGCATCATGTGGTAGGTGAACTTTCTTATCCATTGCTGATTGTGGGAAGATACCAGGAGTCATGTGACTGAGGGTGTTTCTGTTTCTACATTGGCTACTAGCAATCTCCCTGGTAACTGAAGGCTATGACTAACAAAAGTCAAGGAAGATTTCTGTACAAACTCTGTTTCTGTCTTCATGGCATCTCTGGTATTATCACTTTATCTCATGTCTTGATTTTATTGATGCACATTTTTATTCATTTTTAAATGAATATATTTCTATAAGTCAACTTACATTCTTTTGGGTCAAGGCTGGTTGAAAGAAAATATGTGAAATGGATAATATAAGGATTCAAAGAGCTAACACTATCAAATCATGTGTAAAGGCAAGGTATTCTAGGAGAACAACTATCAATCAGCAAGCTCACTGTTTCTATCTTGCCTTAAGTCTCAATGTGTTCAGTTATAATAAACATTTAAAGACAAAAAGAGAAGTGCTTCCCACAATAAAAAATATGTTTTAAAGCTCTTAGACTTTGAATCTACTTTGCAATATATTTAAAGAGGTAATAAAAATCCTGGTGATTCTCTCTGTTAACCAACAGCCTCATGCAGGATTGAAGCCACTGAAGCAGAGGAAAAGCCCAGAGAAGTCGAATCGCCACAGCAATCCTTCAGCTAACACATAAAGAAAATAACCTAATTACTGGAAAGTGGGAACAAGAAAATAAAAAGTATGGAAGGGTAGAGAAGCATTAAATGGGAGCACACAAATTTGTCTTTGCTACAGAACCAGAAATCAACCTAGATCCTGAGGGTGGCCATTAAGAGCAGACGGGGTGTTTGCACAACATCCGTGGATAAATGAGAAAAAAACCAAGAAACAGGAAAAAGACTAATTTTAATTACCCAGAAAAGCTGCTAGAGAAAGAACTGAGAGCTGGTGGTAGACAGCTTACAGCTACAGGCTGCATGGCACTGTACTCTCCTTGCCAATTAGAGCCAGTCAGACCCCATTGGGGAATTAAGTGAGCAGAGGAAGCAGTCTCAGTGCAGGGTCAGGCTGGACTCACACACACTTGAAAAACGGACACCAACCGACACAGGTGCGACCTGAGACTCCCGCACGGGTTTATGTACAGACACACAGGAATAGAACAGAGTACATAGGCTTTCCTTTCCACTAAATACAGGTGCAAACCACATTCTCTATGGAAATACATTGCAAAGAGAGGTATGTAATTTAACAAACACTCAATTACCAATCAGACAAATTGAGGGAATTGGAGAATGACTCCAAGACTCCAAGAGAAAAAGTAGAAGGGAAACTGGCAGAACAATGGCACTAAAGCTGCCACACTGTGGATTTACTACCTGTGCTATTTTTCCAATTACAGCCATTGTGATATAAAAATTCAGGAAAAAAAGAGCTGCTGTCTGAGAGACTAAGCCGGCTATTTCCTTAGCGTTTTTAGAACTGACACGAAGCAACAACAAAATCAAGGAGAAATAAAAACAGTTCCAAACCTAATAGCCCTCAGATGAAACTAGCAAGGGTATAAACAAAAGAGAAGTTCTTCCCAGTCAGGACCTAAGAAAATTCTCCAAAGTGAGAAAGTCCGCTCTCCAAGCCGACCTAAGTGAACGCGTGAGTCGGTGCGGCTGCTGTCAGAGGTAGAAGCCAAAGACTTGGGATCTGAGAGGAGAGAGCAAGCAGCAGGCGGCAGAGGAAGGGACTCTGCCTCGGTGATCTCCCCGTGCAGTCTTCAGCCAACACGTTTGCTTTGTAATCTATGAATGTTAAATACCGAGAGGTTGCAGAGCAGAAAAGCCTGGGGAAGGGGGGCAAGCCCTCCATACTTAGGAGGCAAGGGGAGTACCGGTAGACTAGTGAGAGGAGCGCAGCAGCATTTAAAAACCTTCTTGAGGCAAACAGTCTTTTAAACCCGGGGACATGCTAAATGAACCTTTTCAGCGAGAGGCAGTGAGGCGCTGGGCGCGGGCGACAGCGACAGCGCGGGCGAGTGGGGAGGGGCGAGGGACCGCTCCGGGAGGACACAGCCAGTCAGAGGCGCGGGGCGCGGGGCGCGCGGACGCATTGGAGGAAAACACTCGAGCCCCAAACACACCAGCCGGAGGAGGCGCCGCACCTACTTCCCAATATAACCAACTACAGAGTGGGGGAGCGTAACTGCAAGAAGGCAGCAGCCAAAGTGCCATTAAAGCTCTGGGCGGAAAGGATGCGTTACCTGGGTCCGGTCTTCTGGGAGAGGCAGGGCAAGCTGGAGGATTCCCTCTGAATGATTAAAAACTCCGCAATTCTCTTCTGCCACAGGCTGAGAAGGACCCAAGGAACTGCTCTGTCTGAACTGTGCCGACGGGCAGGAGGATGGGAGACAGGAACTGAGAGTCACAGAGGAAGGACAGGGGAGTCTGGCATCTCATTGGTAAGTGGCTGACATTCCTTTACCAGTGACTGCTTTCTGTGATTGTGCACTTCATCTCCCAGTCACTTAGGATTTTTGACACACTGGCTTCTGCAAAACCATCCTTTCTTGCCATGTTGCCAGAATGTAAAAAACTGTTAGATGAAGCTTTTCTTTTCCCCTTTTTCCATTTTTACAACATTGCTATTTTTCTCTGCTGAGATTTTATGTTGAAAAGTTGAAGCGAGAGTAAATATAACCCTTTTGCATATCTCCTAATGTCACCCAAAATAGGAGAAAACGATTCATACAAACAAATTTTAAGGTAATATATACCAGGATGGGGTAAGAGTGTTTCTACAAAACAAGCCAAATGGTCAGAAAGAAAGGGATGTTGTTCTCAGGTACTGACTGTAGGTCTTATGCTGGAGCAATGTGTTTTTGAGAATACAGCCCAAATAACTGGGCATCTGGCAGTGCAATAACTTGTTAAAATTCAGGACAGATGCTCTATAAGTGGAGTTCTGCAAAGTTATGGAAACTGAGAAAAACAATATCTTGGACTTTTTTTCTAAATGTTGTACAGGAATGTGGTGGATTAAAAATATGAAAATATGTTCAGAGATCCTTATTTTTATTAGAAAAAGTAGGAAAGAATATTTTTGCACATAGATAAATATGATGTACAGAAAGCTGTGGATTACTAGGAGAACCTGAAATTTTAAGTTGGTTTAATTAATTTTATTTTATAAAGAACAAAAATACATCACATTTTTAAAAAAATTGTATAACTTCTGTAGTATGAAAAATACAATTCAATGTGGTAATTTTAATACAGGTTTGAAAGCAAAAACTTTTAAGCTGTTGTATATACAATGCTTTACCTACATACATTTCATCTGATTGTTGATTTAAAAGAAATCATTTAGGGAGTCTATACTTCTACTTTCATTCTGAATGTTAGCTATGGAAGTAAGTATGAAAAAAAGTTAATATTAATTAAAATACTACCATTTAATAATATAGACAAATAGTCAAATTTAAAAATTATTGGAAATGTAATTAATTGGTTGCTATTGAATTGCACCAGAGCTATAGAAATACTTATGAATACCACAGTAAACATATAGGAGTACATCATGATTAATGTATTGACCCTAAATATGGAACACTTACTAATTATTAGAATATTATTTGTTTTGAAATGCCTGTTTTCAATTTTGAACAACTCACTCATGATTCTTTGCATCTTTTTCTATTTCATGCTTAAATTGTTATAAGTTCTGTGTGGACCAGTATATTAAGTCTTTAACTTGTCAGGAATATGTTTGCCTTGGTCAAATGTAAAGCAAAAAAATTACTGTGGAAGAATGTGCAAATAAAACAAAGGATTAAAAAGTAAAACATATTACATACAAAAATCAACTAACTCTAGTTAAGTAAAGATAGAACAAGATTCAGAGCTAAAAGTTAACTAAAATATGAAATGTGATATAAAAACAAGAATTTGAAAAATAGCTTAGCTGGTGTCTAAGAAGATGGTATTAAGGCATACTTGAAAAGAGAAAGTCAATAGAATGTTTATTGCAATGCAAGTGCCAATTTTTCTGTGTAGGCGTTGGGGGAGCCCTTAAATTGTTCTTATGTAAAACTTTTGAAAACCTAAAAAATGAAGAGAAACATTAAGAATTTTACTTTTTGATTCCATGGGAACTCTATTGAGAATTAGAGTCCATAAAGGTTAGAAAAAAGAACATTACCACAATGATTAACTAAATACCAGATAAGTTGTAAGATTAGTGTATACCAGGATACTCTTGGCAATACATTGGAAAAGCTATAGTGGTGTGGGATTTTCTAAAGGATGGCTGATATACCTGAACATTTTTCTATCTAAAGTATTAATAAATACTTTAACTATTAGGTGGTCTGAAACCCAATAGTTATGAGGTTGGTAAGTTAGAGAAGAACTAAAATCATATCATGCACATACACATAAATGTTTACTCAAGAAGTATCATTATGAATTAGTTACTTGCAGAATATTAATCTTATGTATCTAATTAAGTAAAACTCTATTAGAAAAGTGACAAGTTTGGCTAACATATATTTTCTTTTTTATTTAACAATTCATAACCCTTCACCACCTTCAGGGTAGATGTGAGTGGGTATGGTTTGATGTTCAGACTTAGCATTAAGGACCAGATGGTGTCAGTAAAAGGTAGAGGACTCTCTGGATAAAGAAAGTAAGAGGCTGCTATGCTGACCAAGGCATTTGGAGTTCACATTACTTGTAGATAAAACAAAATACCTTCTTTTAAGATTAAAATAAAAGATAATTTTTTCCATCTGATTATAGTACTAGGAACATGATTTGACTATATATAAGTTAGCTTGGCAAAACCAAAGTTTTATAGCAGGCTTTGTTGCTTCCCCAATTCATCAAAAACTATTCTAGAATATTATGAAGATATTTAAAATAGTGTGATTTTTCTGAATCCATTTTACCACACAGTTTTGATTACCTACAGTCTTTGAGTTATCTTCTTAAATATATCTTTAGACATTTCTACTGAGAAGTTGGTAGTTTTTTCTCTTAAATGGATTCTAAATTTATATTGTTTACTCTACAGAAATTCTGACTTCAAGAACTTAGATTTTTTCCTCTCTTTCTTATTCTGCAAAATAGAAGCATAAAACATGAGAGTTGTATGTTTCCGACATGAAATTTTTTAGACTGGTGTTAGGGCTGTGCACTGTGCTAATAATATGTTACATGAACTTCTTAGCACTTTATAGCAGGAAAGAGACTGGTCGGAAGCTCAAAGCAGTAGAATCCCTACAGAGGTCTATTTTCTAAGCATTTGTGATCAATAACTCTACATTAGAGGCTCTTGCATTTTAAAAAGTAATGAAGTATATAAACTCCTTAACACTGAAGTTTCGGATTAAAAACTATAATGAACCATGTTTTATCTCTCTACTCTTTCAATTAAATTTGCCTATTATACGACTTTTTAAATATTCAGATGTATATTGTTAGAAGTTTCTGGTAAGTGGAGTATGCTCAGTTTCTATCTTCTACACTTGAACATTTTTGTATAATAAATAATTTTCATTTAAGATGAAAGAAAATAATTCTAGTGTTTTTATACAGTGGATATAAGAAGAAAATTTAAAAGGCTTTATGATTTAAACACACATAAATATATACATTTATTTTTTAGAAAGCCAAGTATTTATTATTAAATTATTTCATCAAAGTTATTTTATAATTTTTTTTCCTGCTTTGTTTTATCAGTCTCTGAAGAATTTATAATGACTTAAAAAACTTGCTGCCCTGTATTACCACTTTTATGTATTTTTACAACTAGATTTCTCTTAACAAATTCTGTGCTGCATTATTAAATTGCATAAACTTGTCTTAAGACCATTTTTTATAATTTCTGTTATATTTTACCTTTGAAATATACTTTCATAAAATGAATGTAGAACATTTTCATTCATATAAAAAATCTCCATAAGTTAAAATACAAGTCTTTAATTTAATTTCATATTTCAAAGTATTACATATTGTTCTCATGACATAGCCTCTTTCCATATCAACTCATAACACTTAAATACTTGTCAAAGTGTGGAAGTTCTTTTGTTAATACAGGGAAATGGAACTCTCCAAGTAAACCATCAAGTGATTCTGAAAAGCAAATGAAAGTATTTTCTGTTTTGTGGAAATCGAAAAGCCAATGCATCTGTGAGATTTATCATTTTTGAGAATCATGAGAAATTATCATAATATTATTTCTCATGCATTTCTTAATGTTCAATTCCTTATAATTGCTGCATTTTTAAGGGATTCCAAAATGTTCCATTAGGTGCATTTGACAAGACAGTTGTAAAATTACTATTTTTTTCTGTATTTCTCACCCATCCTTTAACAATTCATAACCTAAAAAATTGCTGTCCTATATTATAATTTGTATGTATTTTCTCACATTATATTTCTCTAAACAAATCCAAGAATATTTCATATTTCCTCTGTGCTAGTTTTGGTTTCAACTACTCTATTTCTCAATTTTCATAGATAAAAAATTGAGCTTTTGATTGAAAAGTAGGTGCCTATTCATTTATATACACAATTCACTAATCCCAGTTTTATAGATTCTGTGCTTCCAGGAAATATGGATAAACAGGACATTTCATGGGAAATTTACTTTTCAGTACATAGTTTAATCTCTATTTTATCAAATATTTAAATGTATTAACTAAAATTTTTTCTAAAATTAAACCAAGGTTAAAGGTGATGTTTGAAGAGGTTACAACATCTATTTTAATCCATCTAGCTTCTCAACATTGTAGTTTTATGTAAGAATTTGCTTTGCTTTATTTGATATTTGCTGAGATATTATTGTTCTTTAGTCTCTAAAATTACAGAATTAGACAAATTCTGTGTTGATTAAAATTAATATTGTTTAAAGAAACAGTTGAGTGGCGATAGGGAATTAAAATAATCTTTATATTCTAGAGAGAAATTTTTATTTAATTGGCATTTCATAATCACTAAATATGAGATAGTTCCCTGGACACGTGAACAGATAGATGAAAGTGCCCTGAAATATTTTTGAGAACTTTTGAGAAGTCCCATGTTTAATCTAAGTTAGATTTTGTGTTTTTACTTACTTTGTCATTTAGAAACTTAACTCTTCATATTCATATCTCAAAGGTATAAATTTGCCTAATTCCATCTCCCATACCACAAAAAAATAACAAAACAATTTGTTAGTTACAATTTTTTTTGAAACACAAAGGAGATATTCAGTGTTGCAGACTTCAAGTTACAAGTTTTATAAGAGAATTGAAACCTTAATGTTCATAATTCAGTATAATGTTATCTTCTATTTCTTGAAATGCCACTGTGTAATTAAAAGAGAGTTCCTGGTGCTAAAATAACCATTTCATTAAAAACCAGCACAAATCTCATCAATTATTGATGACCAATTGTGAGAACACATAGGAAATAGTGA